TGCCGACGCCGCCCCCGGCGACCCGCCCAGCGGAGACGGCTCGCGCGCGCCCTCGCTCTCCAAAGCTGAAACACGCAACACGAAATGTTTAGCAATTTGTACATAACTTTTCCTTTTTTTATATTGCTTCTTTAATAAATTTAATTTGTATTTAATTAATTTTTATGTATATTTGTACACAATTTAAAAGTAATTTGTGTATATACATACAAGGGGCAATAATTACGCTCGTGAAAACTGTGCAAAGTATAGTAATTTGCTTTGTTCAATGCACGGAGAGAAATGTTTAGTCCGTACAATTAACCACGTAGTGCAATGTAGTGATTCAGTGACACGGCGTGATTGATTTTGGTAGAAGAAAGTGATTAATCATATTTTATCTTAAAACCAGCTCACCAATAATTACTTGGACGTTCGAAGAGCAATTCATTTGGTTGTTTTTTTTTTTAACATTATTTAGAAATTAACTCGTTGTACAAGATGTCATATTCATATTTGTAGTTATGGTGACTGATTGTGTCGGTGCTAACATAATCTTAAACCAGCTCACCATTAAGCAAATTTAATGCACTTTAATTAAGCAAAACATCGACGAGCAAAACCATTATTTTTTCGCGTAATGAAATAACAATTAAATAGTTATAAACGTTGGCATATTTGTTTTTGTGGTAACCGATTATGGTAGTGTCAGTTTAATAGAGGTTCTGTTGGCTCGTACTTCTATTATTTCGGATACCTAATAGAGGCCTACCCAGCTAAGTATCACCGAATAATTTTATATATGAAACAAATATAATACCATTGATAATTCACTTCGTATATTCACTTAAGAATTTCGATTGATTTACTAAACGATACTAAGTTATGTTTAGTGAATTTTACGAAACGAATAATTGTTTTTTCTATATGATTCCTTATTAAATGTGTTTAATATATTGCACTGAAACATTTCTGTCAGTGCGCAGTAGTCACTACGACCGGGAATCGAACCTAAGCCACTTAGATGAGGCCCGGGTAATGACAATCAAGAAAAAAAATTGAATTTTCTGAGTTGATTCTAACGACAAATTCTGCAGTTCCTTTACAGTATATTAAAGTTATTCGGCTGAAGTAAATAACAAACGCAGTTGAACTTCATAAACCGATACGTTAGAGGAGATTTATATGTAACTGACTCCATTATTTGTGTTATTGGCCGTGTGACGTTCAATACTTTTCATAATACCTTCTAATAGAAATATAACCATAAAAATAAACAATATCTTTTCTTTGAAACGGACTACCCATTGTTTAACTTTTGTTATATCGCATTTGTTTTGAGTGTTATAAAAGTAAAAGTACGTGGCGGGTAAAATCATTAACGGACACCAACCATATAATGGTTGTCAATATAAAATGTCAATATACAATGTCAATATACAATGTCAATATAAAATGTAAATAACCGTATAATGGAAGAGAACACGAAACACATTACAAATAAACAAAATCAATATTTATTAACTAGCTTAGCGCGGCGCCTCCAGTGATTATCTTCATGTTAAACATTTTTATTCCCTCTATTCAAGTTCTTTAAAATATAAATTTTAAACAATACAGTTTCCCGGCTCATTCATTCCCTCATCGGGCATAGAACAGTACATAAAAGCTACCCAGACATATACTATTTTTAAAATATAAGTTTCTTTACAACATTAGGTTCATTTCTCTCTCTTTAATATTATAATTTACTAAATACTAATGTTATACCGAAATATCAACACAGTAATTTTCTGCATTTTATCACTCTAGATGTCTAAAAAGTTGTTATAGAATTTTTCAAAATATACTACAAGAGTCTGGATAAAATACATCCGATTGATTCGTATTGTCGATGAATGGAACGAGTTATTTATGTCTTCTGTAAGCGTCTTGAAATTTCCAAAAAGGCAACTTAAGTGTTTAAAATTTCCGAGAATAACTATTTTTAGTAAATTTTCTAAGAATGATCCAGACTGACACCAGATGTGGGAATTATTTGGAAGCAACGCATCAGGACGTTGACTCATGGTTAAATTAAGTCATTTGCCACCCACTACGCTTCACATCTGGGAACCTGCCCACAGTAGTCCGCCATATACTTCCGTAGCCGTGAAATGCACATTGACGCACGTTTTCTCTCCCTATCATAACCCTATCTAGTCTTTGCGACGCCTTCGTCTGCCAACGGCGTGGTTTAGGCAATAAACCGATTTACGCGATGCCGTTCCCGATTTACCCGGCCCGCCCGGGACGTTCCTCTCCCACGTCTTGTTAGGGCGAGAATTGCAACAATAAGCAGACGAGGGCGGGGGCAGTAGGGACAAAAAACGCCGCCTCTTAACTGTATTACGTGACGCTAATTAGCCTCTTTCAAACGAGAACCTTATGGGATGAAGGGAACTAATGTACACTAGAGAAACCGAGCTGAACAGGGTAAAAACTAAAAACGGAACGAATATTATACATAATTATTACTGCGAATCTCTTGCGTACCATACGTTTAAAATTCCGGGTTACATCACAGTAATATTGATACATTTTTCATTGTGCGATTCATTGTTGCGTGTGTTTCTTGGGATTAACTTTCTACGCTTTTTATGGAAATGAAATCTTATTATAAAATTATTAAAATAATTGCGAAATTTTTGTTTTTGCTATTAAGAAAAATCCAAAACTTTCTAAAATTTAAAACAAGAAGGTTGAGGTAATTATGAAAATAAAACCTGGAAATTATAAATTCTACATTTCTAGAAACTTACAACAATAGTTGATTCTTTTATTTCTTTCATCGTTCTTGCATTCGTGTTTAGCAAAAGAAAACTGCAATGTTGACATTTCTCAGAAGTAAACCCCGAATTTGGAGCATGGAGAAATGCATGTTCACAAAAACCTTCTACGAAAGAATGGCGTAATATAACTGTTCTTTCACCGGATGGTTTCAGACGGAGTAGGAGTTTTAATGCACGCAATAAACTTTCTGTCAAGCAGCCACTGGTGTCATCATTTTTACCAGGAACGAAAACAATACTTCTAAGAAAATGGCCAGTCCGTTGTTTCACACATTAAGGAGATAAATTTCCATGTTAACATTAAACGTTACAGTATTTATTATGTTGAAATAAAATTAGAATGAAAAATACGATAAAAATTTAGTGGAGCGTTCTTTCGACAAAATTATGGCGATGTCGTTGTCTTGTAGAATGCTACAAATGGCAATGATGCACTATGCAACGTTCAAAGTCAGTGTTGAGAAAAGAAATATTGGTGGTGTAGTTTTATTGGTTAGATCCACTTCTACTGTATCTCTCGTCACTCTTTTTTCAGTGCCAATAAATTCCGAAGTTATTTGGCCTTGGATGCAAGACTAACTACTGAAAATCAATGCAGAACGACAGCATTTTGTAAATTAATTATTTGAACATAATTTTCTCGAGAAAAAAAAGTTTCACTTTCTTCAGCTTTGCGTAAAAAGCCGCCCTCAAAAAACTATGTAGAAATAATACGTTAAAGATGTCGTACGTTGCATCATAAATATTAATATTTATTTGTTTGTGCGTTTCAAACAAGCATTAAAATCAGAATTTACAACGAAGTCACAAAGTGTTCCTTGAAAACAGATATGTTTCTTAAAAATTATTGCAATGTAAGATATCGACTGAAACAGGCACGTGTTTTCAAAAGAATATACCGAAGTTTCTGATACTGTCGGTGCTTAAGAAAAGATACACATATAAACATTTCATTTTTTTAATTAAGTGAAGAAATATTATAGAAAGTTTAGAAAGACCTAAGTCAACCAATACGTATACCAAGTAAAGCACAGTATTCGGCCGGAATATGAACTGCTCCGTTCAGAATAAAAGCGTTTTCCTGCAAAATGACAATTTTTGAAATGTGTCACCTCCCTTGTGCACCGGCGATATGAAAGTGGCGAGCTATGCAGTGCCGCGGTTTGTAATTAAAAACGCTGCGTTTGGAAACATGCCAAACTACATATTCAGCTACATCACAGGCAGAACACGAGCGCCTGTCTGTCGGTCTGGAAACAAACTATTTGACTTCATCATTTCTCTCCTCCGATTGAAGCAGTACGACATGTTCCATTAATAATAGCTGCTCTCAAATCCGCACCATACTCGCAGTTATCTGGATTCTAATGTAGATCAGTTTTGAAGTCCTTTTCCATAGTTTTATTTATAGGCTGGGCGGTTCTGGCGCATTCCAGACCTGAGATTGTCCACGATTTATGATTAACTATTAATTCAATAGTTTTGAACAATTAGTTATAAGGAAAAAAGAGGCTATTATTTTGTGCTATTAGATTCGAGATATCATCGAGAGATCATCAAAGATATATCATCGTTGTTTATCATACACAGTAATGGTGCATCGCTCACGTACACTGCAATAAAAAAACCCACCACGACCAATAACTAGTCTAACAAACATCGAACCGTGAGATATTTGACGTCTGCAACGGCTGGCATTCAGCAACACTAGACGTTCTCTTCACAGCCTTGTCAACAGAATCGATTTACCCCTAACTAGTCAACCATGACCAGGGCGCATGTTCAGTTCAAGTGTAAAGTGGAATGAACGGTCTACAACGTGCACTTTTGTAAATTAATCAATCAGACTGAAGTGAAGCAAGATCTATTGAGAACACAAAAGT